TGAGACTTTACTATGTCATCCGAACATGTAAGCTGAACAATAGTGTGGGGGGGAGTGAGTAATCAAGAGTTGCATGGCCCTCAAACAAAAGACGAATCAACGAGATTTGAAAATCGCGTAACTCCGGGTTCGCGTAAGTTGGGGTAGCGTAAGTCGAGGTATTACTGTATATGTTTGTTGATTCAGAGTCCTAGATAGTTAGGGGAGAAAAAACAGTTTCATTCTTTATGATCCTTTCACATAGATTAATAAAATGTGTGTTTTTAATATCATAATTTAATTAATTTTTTTCATTAATATATTGTTTAAATTAAGAATATTATTTTTAAATAAATAAATTTTATATTTTAATACAGGTACAATTATTGGTTTCAGCCAGTGATGTTGAAAATTATAAACAAATAAAAAGTGATTTAGATGAATTACGTTTATTAGTGGAAAAATCAGAGTTATGGGTATTTAAGTCAAAATCAGAGGAGAGTGGAAAAAAGAAAAAGAAAAAAGCAGATGATGAAGGTGATGGAGAACTGGATGATAAAAAAGCAATTAAAGAAAAGAAACCAAAAAAGAAAAGTAGCCTGGTAATCTTTCATTAATATTTCATGATAAATAATTTTTTAATTTTTTAAAATTACTTTTGTAATTGAGCATTAAAAACCTTATGTGGAAATACAGTAATTCATTTAAAATTCATTTAAAATCAAAATATAAAACAGGAAGATTTTAGAAAATATATACTATAAAATGTATTTAACTTTTTTTTTTTTTTGAAATATTTACAATTTTTAATATGTTTTTATTCCAGTAATTATTAAAAATTAATTTGAACTAATTAGAATCAGTTTTATTCTATAGAAAAAAATTTTTTTTACTACTATGAAAATTATTAGTAATAATTCAAATTTCAATTCCTTTTATAATTCAAAATTTTGAAAAATCACTACGTAATCTATAAATTCTGACAGTCTAAAATCTTGAATAATAAAAATCTTAATAGTTATAAATTAATCTAGATTGGGATTCCAGTAGCTTTGATTAAAGTCTAAGTATTGAAATGTAAATAAATATGTGTTGAGAATAAAGTATTTATACAAATTCTTCACAATTTTCTCTTAATTAAATGTTTTAGAGACTGCAAGTTATAGCTTTTTTTTTATAATTAATTATAAAAATCTTTAAATTGATTATTTTAATTTTAGGTTTCATTTAGTTGACAATTGTTCATCAAAAATTATTTTGAAAAATTTATCATTAATTGGACAGATTTATAAATATAATAATAATAAATGCCAAAATCAAGTGTGTAAAATTAAACAGAAAGAGATTTTAATATGGATAATATCTTTAATATATTTTATATTTGAAGAGCTATCTGAGATTGAGATGAATTCATGGTTTCATTGTTTTTGGCAGGAATAACTGCTATACCAGATAGTCAATAAGGGGTGAATAAAGTAATTGCCATTAATGACATTATTGTTGATTTTACTAAGAAAAATTGCACATAGATTCTGTAATATTCAATGACACAAATTCAAACTAATTGCTTAGCTTTTACTTACTGTACAGAGCTAACATGCACTAAAATCAACAATGGGTTACCAAATAGTTCTCTGAAAGTTATTGTATTGAAAACAATAAATTATGAGAAATTTATCATCTTTTAAGACACAAATTTAAGTATGATGTGTAAGTTGACAAATAACTTGCACTTACTTTCGAATTGACTTTAAAAATAGATAACTAAGGGCTGGATTTGTATGCTTATGCATGTTTTTCTCCTTAAATGCTATGATGTTGAAACCATCAATACAAACAAAATTTGAGTCAAAGTAGTTCAAATTAAAATTGTCTAATAAAGCATGTTTTATATACATTTATGATTTTTACTGTATTTTTTTCAGAAGTCACTAATTTTGGGACTAAATAAATGCTTTATAAACTTTATAGCTTGTTTACATGATAGAAGTACTATTTTTTTTTTTCCAAATTATTTATAGTCTGCCTCTGCTATCTGTGCAATGAATCTTTTTGCACATGTACAGTTCTTGTAAGAAATATCACTCTGCCATCTGATTACAGATACATGTGCAAAATATGTTTCAAATTTGAACATTTAACTTGCATTCTTTTAATCTAGTCATTTTTGTAAACAATTGAGTATATAGAAATTAATTCAATAATGATCAATTAGATAGCATAGGAAGTCATAAAATTTTATTGAACATGTAATTTTATTCATAATTGACTTGATTGCACATTTCTTACATGAAACATGATTCTAATATGTATTTTGTGATGTCATAATTTTCAATGCCTTTGTGTCACGTATAATTGTTGCATGTTGTTAGATGGGAAGAGATAGTGTTATGTAATAGACATTAGTAAGATTTGCTAACAGACAGAAGTCAAGTATATATACATTTTAAATTTTAATGTATATTACCAGTACTTTTAACATGCATATTGGATATTTAAGGCATTTTAACATGCATGTAGCAGCACATATCTGGCATTTTTTAAATGTATATGTATGTGCATATATTGCAAATTTTGAGCACACAAATCTGGCCCTTAGAGATAACCCATGGGTTACTCATAGGAAATTACAGTACTTTTAAATTAATACATTGTATAAAACTAGCAGACCACGCCACGCCTTGTTGTGGCTCAAAATGTATCTATTATAAATGTATAACACTTCCCCCTAGGAGAAAATTTTTCGAAAAATTTCTTCTTAGTGTACATTCTCTTGACGTACCCTATTAAAACGCAATCAAAAATGCAAAAACCCGCATCTAAAATAGTATAATAGAAGCCAAGTTTTTCACAGTAAGCCTTAATCCTGTCCCTCTCTCCCCGGGGGGAAATATCGAAATATCCATTCTTAGTGTACATTCTGTTGACGTACTCTATTAAAACGCAATCAAAAACGCAAAAAACCGCATCTAAAATAGTATAATAGAAGTGAAGTTCTTCACAGTAAGCCTTAATCCTGTCCCTCTCCCCCCGGGGGGAATATCGAAAAATCCCTTCTTAGTGTACATTCTGTTGACGTACCCTATTAAAATGCAATCAAAAATGCAAAAAACCGCATCTAAAATAGTATAAATAGAAGCAGAGTTCTTTATGGTAAGCCTTCCCCGTAAGGCTTACCGTAAAGAACTGTCCATCCCCCATGTTTAACGGAATAATATACAGCCTATGTCCACTCTGAAGTTCCATTCTAAATATTGGTGAAAAAATTTTTGAAATCAGATGAGTAGTTTTGGAGATTACCTGCTGCATCCAAACTTACATACAAACATTACCTCTTTATTATATTAGTATAGATGAACTAAATTATTTTCAGATGAAAGATTAAAGTATCTGATGATTTTGGAAATGCACAAAAAAACTTTTAAATTTTCAAATTAAATTCAAATTTAGTTAAATTTTCAAAATTTAGTAATTTTTTTCGTCTTAATGAGATTTTATTAATTCATATTGAAGTCTTTATGAATGTAATTTTTTTCAATATTATTGTTAACTACTATTACAGATGAAAATTTGCATATTTTGTTAATTTTCATTAGAATGCCTATTTAATCAGATTATTTTATTAGTTATTCCCAAATAAAATTAAAGATAACATCGAATTACAACTTTTCAAAAGATACCATTTTGTAATAATAATAAATTTATTAACAAATAAAACAACATTGTTCGGAGTAAAATAGTTAAGAAATTGATTATTAACTAGTATTTATATTACTAGATATACATACTAACTTTTTTATATCCAACAAGAAATGGATTTTTTTTTAATTAAAAATTTGTAGTACAAAATATATTTGCCAAATAAACTAATAGAATTTTATTTTATAATAAAATAAAATGGAGAAAACACTGAGGTTGGCATTACTTGTACATTTTTCTTATCGCAAGCACTTTCGACAAACTTATAGTCGTCATCATCAGGCACATACAGAGATTTACCGAAAAATTAAATGGAAATAATTTGATGTAGAATAGAATGCATAAAATTTAAAGTTGAAACTTTTGTCAAAGCCGTTAAGAACACGAAACAAATATTCAAATATAATTTGAAAACCGAACTAGCAGTTAGCTCCGTGAAGTGCGAGTTAGCGCATGCGCAAAACCAGGCTCACACTATACGCATACTGGAGAATGCTAATACGAGGGCTATTTTTTAAATAAGGTCTGTTTTTTAATAAGAAGAAAAATACTGTAAATATCATTAAAATATATTTTTTCCCATATTCTACATACTTTTATCTACTTTTCTATATAATTTCCATTTTTGTTCAAACATTTGCCATATCGCTCAAAAATTTTTTAAATTTCGACTTAAAAGAAATCTGCCGCCTGCCGCCGGAAGACATTAGGCCATGCCGCTTGTCTTGTATGGCACAGCAAAGTTTCCTCAAGGTCACAATAAGCATCAGAATTGATTGTTGTGCCTCTTGGCATAAAATCCACTAACAAAGTCCCTTTCCTGTCCCAAAAAACAGTTGCCATGATCTTTCATGCTGAAATCGAATAACAGATCGTATCTTAGTTGGCGGGCAAGTCAATTTTCTTAAACATTATAAACTTCTACAGTTCAGCACACAGACAGACGATATGGCTGCAAATGGCATCTAAACATGTGCAAAGCATGCTGAAAGCAGATGCTCATGCACACTGCTGCAATCACGCATCATTCTCGCTCTCATTCACAAACGGACCTTATTTAAAAAATAGCCCTTATATTACTATTTTTCTGTATGTGCTACAGTTAAGTTTAAATCAAATTAATTAATAAAAAATGCATTAATTGATATTCATATAATATAAATTACATCCAAGAATTTACGTTTAAAGGTCCATAAGTCAAATTAAATAACAAAAATTTATTATATATAATACAGTATTATATTATACTATATATAATAATACATTGCATTTGTAGGCATTTTTATGTATGAAATACATGTAAAAACAATTAAAAAATGGCTTTATTTTGGTGGTCAAGAACAGAATAATTCATTTTATATTGTTTCTTATGGGAAAATTTGTTTTTCTAAAAGTTTAGAACAACTTAGGAATGAATTATGTTCAAAAACCGAGGTTTGACTGTAATTAATATAATAAACTTTACTTAGCTTCATATCTAATTGGAACTGTATTAATTTTAAATTAGTCCCTGTTGTTATGATTTTCTTATTATAGTTATAATGTTAAAAACATATTACAAAGTGAAAAACAAGTCTCTTGAATTCAGCACAAAATTTCAAATAATTTTTTTAAACAATTTGAGAAAACTTTTAATTCTAACTTAAATATTTTCATTCACTGACCTTGAAAACATATGGAAATTTTCCCAAAGTTCTTATGGTAAAATGTTAAAAAATATTATTGATTTTATTACAAAATGTTGTTATTACATGAATTTTTGAGATTAACTATTTATCAGAAATAAACTTTTATGGCTCTTAAAGATTGTGCTTTTGAAAATAAATGTTTTATTTAAGCAATTGAATGATAAATGAATAAATCTGTATTTCCAAACACTGTATCTAATATAATTAATTAAAGG